GGCATCGATGGATCGGGTGGGGAGCATGCTAAGGACTGGAGGCTAAGGAGGTATGGGTGGAGTATCGTCCGTATTGGAGCTGATGGTGGTTTCGACTCCCCCGCTTTCGGCACCCTCCCGACCCTGAAGCAGAGCTCCCCCCGAGCTGAGTTGTATGCTTTGTTGCAGTTACCTATATGTCGTGGAGATATCACTGTATATTCTGATTGTCAGATTGTCACTAAAGGGTTTCGTAAGCCACTGAGCGCCCACTTGAAGTCTCCCATGCTTGACCTCTGAGCCCGTGTGCATGATGTGTTGCCCCATAGGCCTGGCACAGCTAATTCTCTTTGGACCAAGGCCCACCCCAACCAGTGTCAGGCAGAGAGCCCTGGATTGCGCCCAAGCGAACTGCATTTGAATCAGGTTGCTCTTTTCTTTGCAGGCAAGGGTGCAGCGGCTGGTGCTGTACCGCCTGACCTTGTCCGGAGGACCGTGGCTGCAGATGACCTGCGTGCACAGGTGATTGGTCGCCTGCATGCTGTTCGGCGTGAAGTCCTCCTCTCTTCCGGTCGGTCCAAGCCTGCACTTGTGGACCTCCCTGTGCGACGTGAGAAAGGCGTGAGGAGGAGGAGGAGGAGGAGGAGGAGGGGGAGGAGGAGGGGGAGGAGGAAGGAGGAGGAAAGAGGAGGAAGGAGGAGGAGGGGGAGGAGGAGGAAGGAGGAGGAAGGAGGAGGAATTTGAATATTCGGTCTTCGAGGCTCCGTGCAGCTGGGCATGGCCCCGTGGTCAAGCAGAGTGTGCTGTGGTGCTGTAGGTGCACCCGCTCCTTCTCGAGGAAGGGTCCTCTGTCTGAATTCTTAGGGGGCCACACGCGAACCCTACCCCTACCCCCCATGATTTCTGAGGGGGAGGGTGGGGTTCACCTCGTTCGGGAGCTCCCGAGCGAAGTGAACCCCACCCTCCCCCTCGGAAATCGTGGGGGGTAGGGGTAGGGTTCGCGTGTGGCCCCCTAATTCTGGCCCTGTCTGTGCAAGCCTCGTGGAGATTCAGGCCTTTCTACCCGGCTTCTCGCCGATGAGTACCATCCCGACCGTGTTGACCCCCCCTTGCTTCTGGGGGCGTTTCGGGGCATCCTTGGGCTGCTGACTGCCATCCGTCCCACACGTTGGAGGTGCTCAGAGGCGTTCTGTTTTGTGCTAGCTGCGGCTCTTCCTGTGTACACCATCATCGCAACTTAGAGAAGCCTTGTTTACCCCATACCGCTGCTGGTAGTGTGACACTGTCCCGTCTCCGCCGTGGCCTTACCCCTAAGTCTGGGATGTCTTGGCCTGAGCGATGATGACGGTGAATGATCTGCGGCCAAGCTAGCAAGTGGGACCCGCTCTTTGCATAAGAATAATACTCCTAATAAGAATATCGAAACTATCAATAATAATAAGAAGAAAAAGAACAGTTATAATAACAAACTGAGGATAAGAATAAGTAGCATAATGATATTCATAATAACACAGGTACCACCGTTCCCAGATGCTCCACAGGTCCCACCTGCTCCACACGTCCCACAGGTCCCACGGGTCCCACAGGTCCCACGCAGGCCCCACAGGCCTTGTCCTGGCAGTCTGCTTGCTGGGGTGTGCTTTCGATCGTGGCACTCTTCCTCGATGTCGCCCTCCGGGGGCCGGTTGTCGGGCCCCGGGGCCCGGGGCCATCGGGGCACGGATCTGGGGCGAAGAGCTACCCCAGGGGAAGTGGAGCAGAACAGATCGTCGGCTGTCCGGGGAGAAAAGGCCGAGGAGCAGAAGGGAAGCCTGAAGGGCAGGAGGCCAGAAGGGCAAGGGGCCCGGAAGGAACGATTGAGGTCAGCGAGCCCGGCGCCCCAACGCTGGGTGTCGGGCCGGCACCACGGGGGCGTCGCCATGCCGCACGGAGGAAGCTGTGAGGAGTGAAGGGGATATGCCGCTTCGGCAGGGCCTGTGACCAAAACCTGGCCTTGGCAGTGCTGTCAAGCAGCGGCGGAATGACCGTCGCGCGGCAGCACTAGATCGGGGGAGGGGGGAAGAGAGGGGGAAGGGAGGAGGGGAAGGGGGAGAGGGGGGAGGGCCACGCCAAGAGCACATGGGAGGAAAATGGCCCTGTGGCCTGCGGGATGTTCCCAGCGCCTCCACACCATGCTCGGAACAGCTGCACAAGGGATCCCACTCGGCTCAACCAGGGCTCCGCCGAAGCAACATTGTCCCCGTCCATCGCTCCACACCATCGTCGACTCAGTCCTAGCATTATAGATGTTGGCGCCACTCAGAACCATGATTCACATAATCATCGCTACCATCGCCGTTGTCGTCATCATCGTACAGTCGTCAGCACGGACACCACCACTAATTCATACGAATTCCCCTAAGACACACGTGGTTATCATGCCTGGTGTCGGACATACCAAGATCGCCCGTACCATTTTGCGGTTGGCGTTATCCGAATCATTGATTGTGATGTTTCCTGCGCGCAGAACTCCCGCCTACAGGGCTACTTGCTTTCTCCCCCTTACCGGTGGATAATCTAAATATCTGCCATATAGACTCATCATAGCGCACTGTGCTGAGACGTTCGGTACTGTGCCGATGCCTCGGCGAGCATCAACTTCGAGGTTTCCCTCAGAGCAGCGAAAGCCCACGCTGGCAGAACGACTGGAGGTAGAATGTCCTCAGCCTCGTGGCGAGCTGTCACGAATGCGTCACTCACGAACAGAAACGAGCAGGACAAAAGGCACATTCCACATGTGGCCGGTGATGGGTGGTAGGTGGGTGGTAGATGGCTGGGTTCTGGGCCCGATCGGGCACGGAGGGGGTAGTGTAGGGAATCGAACTCTATACACCGACGCTTCTCCCGGCCGCGCGTTGGAATTTGCACTGGAGAGCGGATCCTGGTGTATACGGAACCCTGGTGTATACATGTTTCGTTGTTTTCGCGGGACATCGAGGAAAAAAAGTATACACCACACCACCCCAGCGTCGTCCTCGACCCTCAAGACGTCCTGGGATTGAAAAACAGCCCGCCACTGGTAATGTATATGTTCCAGTTTCCGATAGTGGGCGGAGAGGTTGCGAAGGCGGGTGAGGTAGCAGAAATAATATTGAATCCTGCCGTGAGAAAAGAGACCCACCCAGAACCGCCAGCTCGTACACGAGCCAGTCTCCAGTGGCAGCAACAGTGTAGCAGTGATGTAGAACAACAGATGGAGCAGTCGTAGTCGCGGTCGTCTTTGTCGTTGTCTGACGCGCTGCGCGTGGAGCCCAAAACTAAAATCAACGAACGAGCAGCATTAATCGGCTGACGGCGCAGGGAGTCCACGTCAACTAATCCAGCAGTGCTTTCCACCCGGAGGGGGGAGGGGGGAAAGCCTGAACATTCACAGCCTCTGTTTACACACACGTCCCACGACCCTGAATGACCTGATTTCCAAGATACCTCTCTGCTAAGTGGACTGATGCGTGGGGTGTAGTTCGGCGGTGCCAAAAATGGATATACCCACAAAAACACACAGCTTGCCTGACACGGGTCACCAGCGATCATTGCGCACTAATGAGATGGCAACTCAGCGTCACAACCGCCGTCATCGCTCCCGCGAATGCCATGGTCATTTTGCAAGGGAAAGCTTCCTATCGCCACTCCAACCATTCTTCCTCCGATTGCTCAACCTGGCTCGTCGTCCGCGTCCCCTCCCCGCCGGGGGGGTGAGAAGTATGTGCGCGCGGCTGCTGCTAATGCGCCATTTGCCTAGAGTTCCCTGGCGAGCCAAATGCCATAAGCAATTGCAGCCGTCTGATGGTTCCGATGTTGAGGTGTTGAGGTGTCTCGCACAAGAACTATCAATGGGAAGGAGAGCACTAGTTTCTCACACAGGGAAAAAGAGAGAGGGGGAGGGAGGGAGAGAGAGAGAGAGAGAGAAACAACAACAACAAAAGAGAGAGAGAGAGAGAGGGAGAGAACACAAAAAACATGTAAACGAGGCAGGGAGAGAACAACGGCAGCGAAGAAAAGCAAAGCGAGCGATCACGAACATGAGCAAGAATGCTGACATTGCGAGTACTGTTTTCGCGGCAGGAGCATGAGGGAGGCACCCAATGTATCTAACCACGGCGACTGGGCTGGCCCGGAAACGCGGAACCGAATAGCTGCCACAGGTGGTTGGGAAACACGGCACCAGCGAACCTGCTGTAGACATGCCTATGCAGCGAAACATGAACTGTGAGATGTATCGGGGTGCACTGCACGTATGCATCCTGAGCGAGTCTCACGGCTAGCGATATCGCGCGCGAGGTCCAAGTGCCCCATGCACTCAAACCACCACCACGCCTCGACGCCGCCGGCACCGATCCTCCCCGTCCTGCTCCTCCTCCTCCTCCTCCTCCTCATGTTCCTCCTCCTCCTCCTCGTCCTTCTCCTCATCATCATCACCATCACCATCACCATTACATTCACCATCATCATCATCATCATCATCCTCCTCCTCCTCATCATCATCATCATCATCAGCATCAGCATCGACATCATCATCATCATCATCATCATCATCACCAGCATCATCATCAACAACATCGGCATCAGCATCAGCATCATCGTCAGCATCAGCAACAGGAACTTCATCATTACCATCATGAACCGTCATCATGATCAGCATCACCAGCATCATCGTCATCATCAGCACCACCAAGCACAATCAGCATCAGCAGCATCATCATCAGCAGCATCATCATCAAAAGCAGCAGCATAATCGCCAGAGCCGTCATCGCAATCAGCATTATAGTCATCATCATCAGCAGCATCATCATCGCCAGAATCACCTTCATCATCACCATGATCACCATCATCATCAGAATCACAATCACCATCATTATCATCAGAACCAGCAGCAGCAGCATCCGCATCATCATCATCACCAACAGCAACGGAATCACCATCAGCATAATCACCAGCAGCAGCAACATCAGCATCATCCCCCGCCGCAGCCGCCCCTCTCCGTCCGCGCTACCATAGCCCTCTCCTTTTGCCGCGCGCCAAGCCATGTGCGAGAGCGCCCGGATAGGAGCGGGCAATGCGCATTGGCGCTGCCGGGAGCCAGCTCCCTGGATCTCCAACGGTATGAGTTCTTCACTGGCGCTGTTACTCGACTTCGGCCTATCGGGCCATGGGACGGTCAAAAGCGGATCTGGGACGAAACACTACCCGTGGGGAAAGGGTCGGGACCTCACTGGGGCCACGCACTAATATATTTATTTTATTTTATTTGTTTGTTTTACAAAAAAAAAAAAAAAAAAAAAAAAAAAAAATCTGGCTCCTCACTACGACTGGCTGGCTGGCCTCGCGAGTAGTTTCGCGGCGTCCAAGTGCCTCCTCGTTCCTCCTCGTTCCTCCTCCTCCTCCTCCTCCTCCTCCTCCTCCTCCTCCTCCTCCTCCTCCTCCTCCTCCTCCTCCTCCTCCTCCTCCTCCTCCTCCTCCTCCTCCTCCTCCTCTTAGTCTTAGTACTATTCGTAGTAGTATACGTCTTATTACTATTCGTCGAAGTGTTATTGCTATTCGCATTGGTAGTAGCATTGTTATTTTGTTGGTTATATGAGTATTGATATTGATGTTATTGCTTGTTGTTATTCTTACTCCTCTCAATATTACTGTTGTTTGTTGACACTAGTAGCAGTGTTCGTGTTAGTATTATGAGCCTGCATAGTAGTAGTAGTAGTAGTAGTAGTAGTAGTAGTAGTAGTAGTAGTAGTAGTAGTAGTAGTAGTAGTAGTAGTAGTAGTAGTAGTAGTAGTAGTAGTAGTAGTAGTAGTAGTAGTAGTAGTAGTAGTAGTAGTAGTAGTAGTAGTAGTAGTAGTAGTAGTAGTAGTAGTAGTAGTAGTAGTAGTAGTAGTAGTAGTGGTAGTGGTAGTGGTAGTGGTAGTGGTAGTAGTAGTAGTAGTAGTAGTAGTAGTAGTAGTTATGTTATGTTCGTTTTCCCTTTCTTCCTGTTTTTCTTATTAGTGTAGTTTGTGTTGTTCGTCCTCCTCCTGCTCCTCGTCCTCCGTCTCCTCCTCATCATAATTCCTCCGTCTCCTCCTCTCTCTCTCCTCCTAGTCTTCCTCCTCCTCATCATCATCAGCAGCAGCATCAGCATACTCGTCATCATCACCAGCAGCACAGCATCATCAGCATCATCATCAGCAGCATCATCCTCAGCATCACCAGCATCATCAGCATCATCCAAATCAGCAGCATATTCAGCATCAGCATCACCGCATGCATCATCCGCATCACCATAATCAGCATCAGCAACAGCAGCAGCATCATCAGCACCATCATATGCATCATCAGCAACATCAGCATCAGCATCAGCATCATCACCATCGTCATCATCATCAGCAAGATCATCATCATCAGCAGCTGCATCATCATCCTCATCATCATCCTCATCATCATCAGCAGCATCATCATCAACAGCACCATCATCATCATCATCATCATCAACATCATCATCATCATCGTCATCATCGTCATCATCATGATAATCAGCTTCAGCATCATCAGCTGCATCGTCATCGAACGACCATCAGCATGCCCATGCTCATCCTCATAATCATCATCATCGTCATCCGCATCATCGTCATCATCATCACCGTCATCATCAGCAGCAGCATCAGCATCGCCGTCATCATCATCACCATCAACAGTATCATCGTCATCATCATCACCATCATCATCATAATTATCACCACCATCATCAGAATCATCACGATCGCCATCATCAGCAGCATCATCAACATCTTCATCATCATAGTCATGATCATCAGCAGCATCAGCGTCATAATCATTATCAGCATCAGCATCACCATCTTCATCATCGTCGTCATCATCGTCGTCATCGTCATTATCATCATTATCCTCTTCCTCCTCCTTCCTGGGTTCCCGCCAAGCCAGCAGCGAGCACCGGCAGGATGAGCTGCAATTGACGTCTGAGCTCCTCCGCGGCGCCGTCGAACTCCGCGCTACCTGCCTCCAGCTCGACTGCCGCTAACTGCCCGTGAGCCTCAGCCAGCTTGGCCTTCACCTGCACAACCTCGGCGCGTGCTGAGGACAGACCGAGATCAGCAGCTTCGCAAGCCCGCCTTCGCGCGGCAGAGCGCTGCGCCCTCGAGCGACGAAATACTTCGGGTACCATCTTGAAGAACACGAACAAAGAAGCGGCCAGCTCCAGTAGCTCCAGCCGAGGGAAGCATCGCCATGCCAGCTTGAGCAATGGGGCTGTCGCACACTGCTGTGCGATTGGAGCCAAAATGGCTACGGAGACCTCCTCCTCCTCCTCCTTCTCCTCCTCTTGTTTGTTTCTTTTCCAGGACCGCCTCGTCCTGATGTTCCTCGTCATCCTCCTCCCTTCCCTCACCTCGTTCCCGATGAACTGAGATTGACACGCTGTTTGTCCCAAGAGGGGCGATCGTCATGGCACTGGGCACGAGATCCTGCCAGCCCTCAGTGGACAGACAAGGCGTGGCACGCATTCGAAGCCACGAGGAAAGTAGCGCGCAGGCAAAGACGCCTGGCACCAAAGCGAGCGCTCGCATATCTACGCGTGCACGGACGCGTACATGCCCACTTGCAAAGCGAACACGAATATGTTCCCAGAACAGCTTTCACTCCGAGGGCCTTTCACTTATGCGGGATTTCGTTGTTGCGATTTCATGGTCGCGCCCCATCGGGCTTCAGGTCCCCCTAGCCCTGGCTGTTGCGATTCCCTGGTCGCCGTCCACGGGGTCCTGGGCCTCGCTGGCCCAGGCTGTTGCGATTTCCTGGTCGCCGTCCACGGGGTCCTGGGCCTCGCTGGCCCTGGCTGATGCGACTTCCTGGCCATAGCCCACGAGGTCCTGGGCCCTGCTGGCCCTGGCTATTCCGATCGCCTGCTCTCCGCCCACGGGATCCGAGTCTCTTTTACGAAGAACTTACTGCTTGGGGTCCGCGCTAGCCATCGTACATGCGCAATGTCGAGCACGTGTATGTTCGCAACTGCTCTTGGCAGCTGTGGGCGTGGCCTGGCCCCCCCTGCAATGCTGCACGCAGCACTCCCTGTGAAACAAGAGGCGCCCCACATGAAGAGGTCACCATTCCAACCTTGTGTCTTCACACAAGCGAGGTCCGCGCGACGCGCTTGATGTTGCGCGCATCGGCCACCCACTGCGAAGCCCGCACCTGTTCCTGAAACTGAGTGCCACATGCGAGGCGCTAGAACCTGCGAGCACAAATTGCTCGGCGACCATAATGTCTGCGCCAAGAGACAGAGACTGTAAATGGTACCGCTCGCGAATCGATGCCAGATGTACAAATACTAGCATGTCACCATCATGCTCGCTGGACCGCCAGCCAAAAGCCAAAGAAGCAAAAAACGCTAGTCGGCTCTGGGACGCACCAACGAGAAACTCCGAGAAGATAAAACCACACGACAGGATCGGGCAGCGTGCGACGAAAAGCTCATCCCAAATAGATCAACTGAAAAACAAACGCATCAGCCATATCCGCCATCGTGCCGAGAGGCACAAAGTGGGGTGCTCTAAGGTGTCGTCGAATTCTCTACTTCAGGTTTCTAAAAGAAAGCTACGTCCGTGTCCCAGGCCCCGAAATTCCTGGGAATCCTCAGCGCTCGCCGGCGTTCCTGGGGTCCCTTGGGCTCCGCCAGGGCTCCCCGCGTGACGTTTCCCGAGGCCTCGGGAGCGCGGCGGGGAGTCCACACCTCCCACGGTGCCACAAGGTGGTCGCAAGGGGCCGCCCTGGGGGCCGTTGGGGGCCCCTGGACTGCCCGGGATGCTCCCGGGGCCGGCCCGACAAGCCAACATGACAAGCAAAGCAAAAGCAAGCAGCGTACCGCCGTGTCTGCATTCGGAAAGTCCAGGACGGCCCAGGAGGCCTCCATGAGGGTTTTGACAAGATACCCCGATCGAGGCCCCCAAGAGGGGCCTAAGAGGCCCCCCAAGAGAGGCCCAAGAAGGAAAAATCGGAAGGGCCTTGGACCCACATCCCATCAAGGCCCCCGAGACAGCCACCAGGCCACCAAGAGGCCCCCAAAGAGGCCTCCAACAAACCCCAGTGTGCCTTCCAAGTGGCCGCATGAGGCCTCTAGGAAGCCCATCAGTCCACGACCCAGGCTCGGTGGCGAAGGCCACTAGATCCGCCGCCCCTGTTGCTTGCGAGCGGGGCTGTTGGCATGCAAATTTCCCAATGTGGTCTCGGCCGATCCCGACGGCCACCTGTGCGAACCCCCTCCCGCGGGCGTTCTCGCCCAAGACAGCTCCAAGAGGGCCGCCAAGATCGCCCAGATAGCCCAGGATGGCCTCCAAGACGGTCACAAGACGCAAGACGCCTCCAGCACGACCACTACGGCTCCATGAGGGCCCAAGCTGCGACCAAGACGGCCCAATACGGTTCCAAACGTCCAAGGTGCCCCCCTGACGGCCCAAGAGACAACCAAGACGCTCCAAGAGGACATCCAGGAGGCCAAACTCATTAATTCGCCATAGACTGCCTGAGAGGCCTCCAAGATAGCCTCGAAATAGCCCCAGCAGCCCCCAAGAAGGCCTCAACATGGGCCACAAAGGCCCCAAGACGGCCCAGAAGGCCCCAACGACGGCTCCAAGAGGGCCCCAGGGCGGCTCCAGAGACCTCCAAGATGGCCCTAAAGCACTCCAAGAGGGCCCCCAAACTGTCCAGGCCCCCAGGGCTGCCTCCAAAGGCCGAGAGGGCCCCCAGAGGCCTACAAAGCCCCCCAAAAAAGGCCCCAAGAGGCCTTCAAGAGGCCTCCTTGTCCTGTGCCTCCTCCTCCTTCTCCTCCTCTTCCTCCTCCTCCTCCTCCTCCTCCTCCTCCTCCTCCTCCTCCTCCTCATCATCATCATCATCATCATCCTCCTTCTCATCCTCCTCCTTCTCCTCGTCGCCCTCTTCTTCAGTTCCTTTTCCTTACTCTTCCTTATGAATAACTTCCCCCTGTCGCACCCCGAAGCCGATCGAAAAGGCGGGCCAGGGGGTTCGCCTGAGATTTTCTCACCATCTATGATCCTGAAATCTGAAACTTGCAACAGCTTCACGGATGGAGGGCGGTCCGCTGTCAAAGTGTGACTCTCGCCGAAGCGCCACGCACATTCGTCCGAAAAATGTGCAAGAGCTTCACGGATGGAGGGCGGCCCGCTTTCA